TGATGATCTGCTCAGGTCCCTTCCAACCCTACTAGCTATTAAACTATAGGGGCACTTGGCAGGGAGCAGATGTGAGGGGCTGTTGGCCCATGTGCCAAGGAGCTCCCGTGTCTGGCTCCGATTTGGCAGTTACATGGCGGCAGAGGCACTAGCAAGGTACTGAGCAGAGCAAGATGCAGCTCCCGGGGGTCCCTGCTCAGCTTCAGGGGAGGGGAGAGCAACCAACAGTATGAACTAGGGTGGGCTGGCCCCATGGCAACTGCATCACTGCAACCCAAGTGCTGGCAGAGGCACAAGTGTTTGCTCAGGGCACAGCTTAGGTTGGATGCCCCCTGTGAAGTTGCGGGCCCTGGGGAGCCAAAGCCCCACAGCTGTGCTCAGCCCCTTGGCAAGGCTCAGCAGAGGGGCCCAGGCTCGAAGGGACCCTGCGGCCCCACGGGCTACGTTACGCTCCCATCTCCATGGCCACAGGCTCCAAATGCTTCGAGCTTTTTGACTTAGCCCTTTGTTCACCACAGGCTGAGGGGAGGGTTTCTCTGCCTACGGGGCTGGCACAAGATGCTGTGCACTCAAAGCAGTGCTGAAGGGAGGCGAAAGGCCTTTATCCTGCCCTAGGAGCTGCCGGGTACCCACGCTCCTCATGCCCCCATCCGGGAACCTGGCCGTGCTGCACTCCTCGCAGCCCTGCTGCAGCTCCTACGGCCCAGTCCCCACCCCTGCCAGCCGGCTTCTCCTCTTCACTGGGCTGGAGACAGAGTCATTAATAAGCTGGCTGCCGGTGCTCCCGGCAGCAGCCGTCCGCGCTCTCCCCCAGCTGAGCGCGCGCTGCCTGCAGCCCCCATTCATTAGGCTCGCCGGGGAGCGCGGCTGATGGAGCTCGCCCCGGCAGCCATGCACAGCGCTCCCCCTGCGGGGCAGGCTGGGTGGAAGATGGATGGCGCTGCCGCCCGCCGCCCGGGAGAATATTGATGGGCACCTGCAAAGCCTGTCTCTGCACAGGCAGGGAGAGGTGGGAGCCAGCAGTGGCGGGGGCAGAAAAACCAGCTCGCTCCCATCCATCACGTGGCGCTAGCAAAAAGGCCTGTCAGCTCCACTTACCGGCAGCGAGAGCTCATCCGAATGGGACTGTGGGAGGCCCCTGAGCCCAGCTGCGACCGGGAATTGGATGCCAGGCCCCTCATCTGGTGGCCTGCAGGCCTTCAAGAGGCATGGACCAGAGAGAGCCCCTTCTTCCCCCCTGCCAACCCCCATAGACCCAGCCCGTCCCCAGTTCAGTTGGGCTGGGGAGGCAGGCCAACATCCAGGCCCCCATGGGAGAAAGGAGAACCAAACCCCCTCCGGCTGAGCCCTGCTTCCCTCTTAGGAGAGACGCAGAACTGCCCCGCGTCAGTCCAGCTCCGCAGCACATGCCAGCCCCCTGCCCCTGCGCTCCCACCCTGTGCCGTGCCCACCGGGGCCGTAGCTAGCTGCAGGCTGAGGTCTAACCACTGCTCCATGTTGGGCTTGAGAAGAGCGTCCTTGGGCTGCAGCCAAACGGCATGGCCTGAGCACCATGCAGTCCCTGAGTAAGCCCAATGGCTCATGGAGGGCAAGCCTGGGGAGACCAGCCCCCCCCCCCCTTTTTTGAAGGCTGAGAGGTGCAGCATGGAGCAGGGCTGACACCCCCGGGTCCCACATCCCAGCCCCCTGCTCGCACACCTCGCTGGCCCCTTGCGTGCCAGGGGCCCATGGCAGCGGCTGGAACGCTGCAGGCTCCTCCGTGCACAATCCTCCCCCGCGCCCTGCCTCCAGGGATCCCTGCCAGGCGGCCGCCGAGATATGAGCCTGGCTTCCCAGACGGTGCAGGCGGAGGGTGGGCGCTGGGAAGCCTGCATTAATCACCGTGATGATGAAGCTATTACCGGTGTGGGGGGGAGGGGCAGACACGGGACGGGAAACCCGCCAGCGCTCCCGGGAGGCTTGCAGCCACCGTGCTAGGTTTGGCTGTATGTGATCAGTGGGCTGCAAAACACGGGACGCGGGCTGCACAAAGCCATCACCAGCCTCCCTGGGACCGAGAGTTCAGTGGGAACCACAAAGGGCTGAGGGATGGCTGGAGCATCACTTCTGGCCAGCTCAGGCCAAAGCCCGTCTTTAACCATCAGAGCTCAGGGCAAGACCTAACTCAGGGAAGAGGCGATAATCCTCCAGCTCACTTTGAGGAAGCCTCTGCTGGAGATGGGACCAGCAAAAATGGGCCCCGAGTCTGGGCCAAGCTGGCCATGTCCACGCTCACACCAGCTCTAGTCCAAAGCGTTGCCTCACTCCAGGACTCGGTTCCTCAGGGCTGCTTGAGACAGCCCAGAACCAGTGGCATGGGCACATCCTCTCCTGCCAGGCACCCACAGAGGCCCCCGGAGCTAGGCAGACGCAACGCCAGAATTAAACCAAATTAAGCAGCGATGGAAACTGGCCTCCCAGGAGGAAGGGGAAAGTGTTCCAGCCACGGCCAAGGAGCGAGTCCATTCACAGCAGCCAGACAACCATGTGCATGAAACGAGGAGGCGGAGATGCACAGAGAACAGTTTCATCAGAAAGCCTGTGCGTGCCCATCTCCAGGTGATGGACTTTTCAATGCTGCCCTACCCCTCCTGCCTCCCAGCGCGCTGGGCACGTTGTACCCGATGCTCTCAGGCCCTGCGTGTTCCCATCCCCATTCCTGGGGCAGGGAAACCGAGGTAAGAAGCAGGTCCCGTGTGTCCTGTGCCTATCACCACAGGGCTGAGCCTCTTGCAGGTCCCCAAGTGTCCTGGGCTCACATGGCTGGCAGGGCGTGCTGCTGGGCGCCGAGTTAGGAGGCTGGAGCGCCATGCGGAGAAGCACCATAGCATTCGTCTTTCCTCTGCCCCATTCTCTGCATGCTCACCTGGAGTGGCGTCTAGCTGCACAGCTCCTTCCCAGGGCATCCCTACCTGCGAGCTTGACACCCATGCTCCTAGATGATCCCGGCTTCCCGGAGGCCATGCCACTACACCGAGCTGGGGGGCCGCACACCCCTGCGGAGCTCCACTGCCCCCACCCCAGCCTGACAGCAGCTCCCTGCCTCCCCCACATGCTGCTAGCCAGCAAGCATGGCTCCTACGCAGAAAAAACCCAGCTGAACATCCAGGAGCAGGGGGCTGAAAGCGAGAGGGGCCTGAGGGAGCGGCAGGAGATTTGTCATCGTCAGCCAGTGCTATTACAGTATAGGCTGGTCCCCACCTCCGTGCCTAGCCGGGGGCACTGGGGGTGACAGATGACTTGCCGTGAGGGATGTGCCGTCCCTGGCCCCCACCGGAGATGCGCCAGCTATGGATCCCCCTTGACCCCAGGGCATTGGTGTGTGAGAAGAGCCACGGTTATCCCCTCCGCACAGGAAAATGCCCGTCTTCTCTGCCCCCCGGCACGAAACCGCTGCAAGGCGATGAGGTGGCGGCCGCGCGCGGGGGCCGCTCCAGCTCATGAGAAGCACGCCGCCCCCGCTCCCCCCACCAGAGCTCATTACAGCCTGGCCGCAGAGCTGCCGTGGCCACGCTCCTCTCTCGCCTCTAATTGCCTCATGACGAGGCAGCCCAGCGCCTCTCGCCAAGCCATTAATAATTTCCAGGAGCAGCCGTCTGCCCTCCCGGAGCTCTGTCAGCTGGTAAATGAGAGGAATGCATGTGATTCGCCCCCAGCCCCCACCCCAGACAGATCGATTGATCAAACCCATGGCGCTCCCCGCCCCCACTCTTCCCCCCCTTGGCCTCCAGAGCATTCCCAGCTGCCT